AAGGTAGACAAAAGTGCTATCTATGAAATAGGAAAGTTTGCTTTTACTCAAAATTATGTTATCAAAACTTTTGAACAAACTCTAGCAATCAAAAATCAAAATACTGAGATTACTCTACTTTCAAAAGAATCTATTCAAGAACATAGGAAGAAATTTCAATTTTTTGCATTTTGGTCTAGTTTAAATTGCTATTAAACCACTATTTTGATTTGGTTTAAATATTCATGTTTTTTAACTCTTCGAGATAAAAGACATAATCAATTTAAAAATTCTTTACTCACATTTCTAGAATCAAATCTAGAGGGAGGTCCCGTATTTTCAAATTGCTATCCAAAGTTTACAGTTAGTCTTTTTGATGAAGATATTCTCAAAACTCTCAATCTTCAAATTCAAACTAAAAATTTTGATTTCAGCGATAAATCAAGAGCTTTTGTTGTGATCTTTAGAATTTATTACAAACTTTTGAATACAAATCTCAATATTCGAGCACTTCGCTCATCTCCTCGTGATGAATCACTTCTTATGAAAGTAAATTCTCTTCATTCTAATACCATGGTTCCAAAGCGAATTCCTTGGAATCTTCAATCTAGAAGCATGGAATGGGATATTCTTAATGCTAATAGAATTGCTTCTTCTCAAACAAATGATACTCCTAATCAAATCCTTTCTTTTCCTGACAGAAGTGTTAGGATGAGTTTTAGTTCGCCTTCATCTTCGAACTTTTTCAAAATAACTAGATCCGTTTCTTCTAGATCGACTTCTAGATCTAGACATAGATCTAAATCTGAAATTCCTTTTCAATCTAGAAGATTTTCAACCTCTAATGACAAACTTAGAGATGTTGATTTTGGTCTTATAATTCCAAAACCTCAATATTCAGATGTCAAAGAAGAATTCGAAGAATCTGCTGAACTAGATTCTCCAACTCAATCTGATATACTTCCTCCTCCTACTGAAGGATTGTCAAAATAATTAAATGTTATTTCTTCAAGTTTTGATAGAAGAAAAGAATTTCAAAATGACCAAACTCCTGCTGTTAAAGTATTTAGAAAAACTCTTAAACAAATGTTTTCTGAGGAAGAACTTGAATCTTATTGGGAAGAATTCTTTAATTTTCCCGAGGATCTAAGTTTCTTTGAATGTGTTAACTTCAAAGTTTTTGGAAAAAAGGGTTTCAAAATCCAAATCTATGCAAACAAATCGATCAAAAAAGATTTGGAAATCCTCTTCATCTAATGAAACTTTTCAATCTGAATATCTTCCTCTTCAAGAAATTGTTTTTCCTCATGGAGTCATAGAAGTTGTAGCATCCCCTTTCAAACAAATTTCTGAAGAAAGAGTTGAAAGTTCTGCTGTAAAAACTATTGATATCAAAAATCTTCAAGCTCAGAACAATTATACCAATATTGTTCTTTATTCTATGTGTTCTCAATTATCTAGAATTGAATCAATTTCTGAAGCTGAGAACAATATTCCTAGCGATTCCATGATTGCTTATCGCGATGTCAAAAAAATTAAGATTGAAGAAAAGAAACCACTTCTTTTCAAACATATCGAATCAAATATTTCTCCTAAATTTGGAAAAAGTTTGTTTTCTTCTGATTCTCAAGTTCTGGAAGAACTTACAAAACAATTTTCAAAACTCAATGCTTCTAAAATCATTAATACAATCGATGATTTTGAAAATCTCGAAAATCAATTTATTAATGAAGAACCGCTTCAAATCAACAGAGTTGAAATTTTTTCAAAACTTCCAATATCTTATCCTTGACCTTCTCATCCTGATTTGCGCTTAAAAGAAAGCTCTTTTAGGAGAAAAGTCACTGAAACTTATTCAGGTGATGAAGTTGTTGAATGAAATAACTGTTTGTACTAATCTCTTGGTTGGCTTTACTGGTCAATTAAGAGGTTGGTGGAATAATTATCTTTCTGAAGATAACAGACAAGAAATACTTCAAGTAACAAAAATTGATAATAATAATGTTGTTAGCGATAGTTTCGCTACTCTTGTTTTCTCTATTATCAAACATTTTGTTGGAACTCCCGATATTCTTCAAAATAGATCATCAAAAATCCTGATGAACATTTCTCGTCTTGAACTTCATGACTTTAGATGGTACAAGGACATTTTCCTTTCTGGAGTTATGCTTCGTGAAGACTGCAACAATGAATTTTGGAAAGAAAGATTTATTTATGGACTTCAAAAGCTTTTGCAGAAAAGGTTCGAAATTCTATCAAAATTCAAAATAATGATTCTATTCCTTATCGTAGTCTCACTTTCGGCGATATTATAAGTTTTATCAATAAAGAAGGACTTGCTCTTTGCAACGATCTCAAGCTCATAACTAAACTCAAATCTGATAGATTGGGAAGCAAAAGGGAACTTGGATCTTTTTGTGAGCAATATGGTTTTGAAAAAATTATTCCTCCTTCTACAAAAATAAACAAAAACATTTTCCTTCCTTTTTTCTAAAAAGGAAAAATATTTTTTTCCGAAAATCTCCTCAACATTTTCAAAAAACTCGAAATCAAAAGAAATTTCAAAAAAGATCCTTCTAAATCTCAAAATTCGACTAGAGTTACCTGTTGTTATAAATGTCATCAAACAGGTCATCATTCAAATAAATGTCCTATGAAGTGAAAGATTAATAATCTTCAAATTGATGAAGATGTTAAAATTGAACTTCTTAACTTACTTTACTCTAGTTCTGATGAAACTTTCGATTCTGAATTAGAACATGTCTATCAAAATCAAGAAGATTCTGATAATGAATCTAATTCTTCATTTTCCTCCCATTCTTGTCAAAGTAAAAAGATTTGTGGATGTAAAATTATAAATGTTCTTACTAAAGAGGAAGTACTTATTCAAGAAATAATTGAGAAAATTGATGATTCTCAATTAAAGAAAATGTTTTCTCAACTCTTACCTTCAAAATCATCTCAATCATATAAACCATTTAATATGAAAGATATATTAAATAGGTTTCATCATGAATCACCATCAAAATCCTCTGATTCTGATCTTAAATCAAAAGTTAGAGAAATGAAATCTCAAATTTCTCGTCTTGAGCATCAAGTTAAAGACATCAAATTTGAAGTTGCTCTTTTTAAATCTAATAGTCAAAATATTCGAAATGATTCATCCGATTCTGATTCTGATTCTAAAAAAGAATTAGAATACATTGCTCAATTTGATCATCCTGAACTTTTCAATAATCCTGAACAAACTCTTCCACTTACGGAGGAAGAAAATGTCAATGTCATTAATCGAGTTCAGCTTCAAAAATGGCACCGTCAAATAGAAATAGTTGTTAATAAAGTTTCAAATTAACAACTAGAGTTCTCATTGATTCTGGTGCTGATCAAAATTGTATCCGTGAAGATCAATCTCTAAAAAATATTTTGAAAAAACTATAGAACGTCTTTATGGAGCTAGTGAAAAGAAATTGAATATTCAATATAAACTTTCCAATGCTCATGTTTGTAATTCAAATGTATGTTTTAAAAATATTTTTTATTTTATCAAAGATTTAGATCAAGAAGTTATTATTGGTACTCCTGTCATTATTCAAACTTATCCTTTTCAAGCTTTGGAAAAAGGAATTTCTACCAATATTTTTGGTCAAAATTTGTTTTTTAAATTTACCAATCCCCATTTTGTCAAAGATGTTAATGCTCTTCAGCAAGCATCTATTTCTCAAATTATTAATAATATAAATTTCAAAAAACAACATGTTCAATTTCTAAAAGAAGAAATTAGATTTAAATTTTTTTTTGATCAACTTCAAAATTCTTCAAATAAAGAAACAATTTCCTAATTTCTTAAAAAATTCGAAACAGAAGTTTGTTCTACTATCCCTAATGCCTTCTGGAGTAAAAAGAAACATATTGTTTCTCTTCCATACAATTCTAATTTTAATGAATCAATGATTCCTACTAAATCAAGACTTACTCAAATGAATAAGGAACTTCTTGATCACTGTATGTATACACACACACACACACACACACACACACACACATATATACACACACACACACATAATGTATTTTTAAAAAAATAAACTAAAATTCAGCCTAAAAATGACTCAGCGGTTGAATCATTGACACAATGACTCAATGATTTATGGGTCGACGAATGAGTCAGGTTCGATAACTATGATTTTTGCACGAATAGACTACAGATACAGAGAGAATAAGCTACTAATAATAATTATTTGTGTGGCCCTAGTAATTTTTCTTAGAAACATAAAGGTGGAAGCGCGCACACGAAAAAAAAAAAAAATTAATAAAACAAAAGCCAGTGAGAATGCATAGTGGAAGATGGACATTGAAATTGCCATTAGTCCTTCAATCTTAGGTTGATGCCAATCTATTTCTCAAATTATTAATAATATAAATTTCAAAAAACAACATGTTCAATTTCTAAAAGAAGAAATTAGATTTAAAATTTTTTTTGATCAACTTCAAAATTCTTCAAATAAAGAAACAATTCCCCAATTTCTTAAAAAAATTCTAAAAAGAAGTTTGTTCTACTATCCCTAATGCCTTCTGGAGTAAAAAGAAACATATTTTTTCTCTTCCATACAATTCTGATTTTAATGAATCAATGATTCCTACTAAATCAAGACTTACTCAAATGAATAAGGAACTTCTTGATCACAGTATGTGTGTGAGTGTGTGTGTGTGTATAATGTATTTTTTAAAAAATAAACTAAAATTCAGCCTAAAAATGACTCAGCGGTTGAATCATTGACACAATGACTCAATGATTTATGGGTCGACGGATGAGTCAGGTTTGATAACTATGATTTTTGCACGAATAGACTACAGATACAGAGAGAATAAGCTACTAATAATAATTATTTGTGTGGCCCTAGTAATTTTTCTTAGAAGCATAAAGGTGGAAGCGCGCACACAAAAAAAAAAAATTAATAAAACAAAAGCCCCAGTGAGAATGCATAGTGGAAGATGGACATTGCAATTGCCATTGCAGGAAGTTAGAATCCAACTACGGTGAATCCATTCGAAGAATCCGAGGTTGCTGGTGATGATGTCCCATTTGAAGAATTGGTGAAGATGGCAGCTCCTGGAGAATTTGGAGGTAGACCTAGGAGTTCTGTAATTGTGCACCACATAGAAAGGAAACATAAATCAATAATATTAGAAATAACTAGGAAAAAAATACATTAATTATATACCTAGTTACCTACTACTGGGAAAAAAAAAAACCCCATAGTGACTATGATACTCGTACTGTTACAACGTGTTTTAGTAATGATAATATTAAAGAAGAAAATTTAATGCATGTCCACGAAAAGGCGAAACAGCCATCTCCTTCCTGAGTCGTGCTTCTGCGGAATTTGAAGGATGCAATACCAGAAACGGGCTTGAAACTCTCATTTTACCGTAAATTAAACACGTAATAGAGAAATGAGTAGAAACACAGATTAGATTAAGCTTTACTTGGGCATTCACTGATGCTAGAGTTGGCCAATTTACAAGCAGAAGGCAACTGAAGCAAACGAGCTTCTTGGACTCCCAAGTTCTTTATCTCAGGATTGCTTCCATTATGAATCCGCTGTATGATATAGCATAAACATGCTGGGTGGCTATCCCTTATACTCGCTTCCATATCGCAGCAGTCTTTGCTCGGCGCCGCCGCCTTGGCGGTGGCGAAGGGGAGACAAGGACTCAGCTTCTGAAACTCTTTGCTGCATTGCTCGTATAATGATGCTGAACCCACCAAACCACAAACGATAAGGATGAAGAAGAAGAAGAAGAAGAAGATACAGAAAAATGGTCCCTTCATGATCTTGAGAATCCCTTTTGTTAGAGTGATTGGGGGGATGTGAGATTTAATGGTGAAAATTGAAGGGTGGGCGGTGCTGCTGCGCCGGAATTTTTAATGAGGGCGGAAGAAGGTGGAGCGGTGATGGTTGGGGTGGATTTTAGTTATTTAAGGGTATGCAACGTGGCCTCATGGCTGTCACGTGGAAGTTTGGGCAATGTTTAAATAATTTACTTGGCAAATAAGTAAATTTTAAAATAAATGATGTCTTTGACTTCCTAGAAAGCATTGAATCATCTAAAGTATCCCATCTACTAAAACCTATTTTTACTTATCAAATGTAAATTTATTACTTATAAGTAAATACTGCAAGTTAATTTTAAAATAAATGATATCTTTTGGTGGGTCAAATTTAGAATAAAATTATTTATATTGAAATTTATTTTACTTTTACTATAAAATATAGCTGACCTTTTGACGTGTACAAGTAAAAAATAAAAATAAAATTAAGAACATATTTTGTGATGAAATAACTATTAGTAATCAAATTGAAATTTTAGTGATGGGTTTGTGACAAAAAGAAAAGTTGAGTGACTAAAATAAAACTTATCTCAAAGTTGGGTAACCTTACTATCAAAAGTATTAATAATTCCAAAAATATTTGCACCCCTTTTCTCCACATCAAATGTCTTCTTCCCAAAGACATTATTGCGAATACCAACTGCGAGACAATTGTGTAATTTCTTAGGGCATCTTGAATGGTGCATTAATGCTTATGGTGTTCATCTTCACTGGATAATATGTACACGAAAAAAATACCTGATCAAGGTATAAGGTGGAGTTTTTGGTACATTGACATTTAGTTATCGATTTAGAAGATTTTTTTGATAGGAACTTTAGGCGTCAAAGAGTGCGTGATGATGATACGAGAAAATGACTGATCACACAAAATTTAAGATTTTGCCAATAAAATAAATGCTAATTTGACAAATGCTGGGCACAAATTATTTCTCAAAGGTTGTGTTGATTATCGTTTACATACTAGAACAAGAGGACGAATCTATTGATGATGTCACGGGGAGGGCCATTACAATCAACCGATTAAAAGTAAAACATGATGATCGTACTTTAGCTTCTAAATAATCCTTTGCATACATTCAGATATAAAAAGTTGTCATTCATTGAGTCGTTGAATAAGTTTAAAATAAAATTTGATAACTTGGTAAAAGAAGAGTATTGTATTTGTTTAATTTAGAAATTTCATTCTTGCCATATATACATGCTTTTCATTCCGAGTGTATAATTCTTTGGCTAGAGAAGAGCAACCTAGGTCCATTGTGTCACAAACCCATGCATAAGCAGCTTAACAACGCATCTCTTGAGACCCATTTTTTTAAGAAATGAATTTAAGGACAAAGATCCGTAAGTTGGAAGTACTTTTATTAAATTGATACTTAATTTTGGTTGTAAATTGATTATTTTAGGAGAAACTCATGTTGGATGACTTGTGAAGAAATGGAGCGGAAATCAAATGAAAATGATGAATATCGGTCAAATTTTAGAAAAGGGAACTAAAGTACAAAGTACTGTGAAGAAATAATTCTTGTTATTATGTTTTAGATTTTACCATGTGACAGTTATAAAGTTGTTTAACAGATTAGATATTTTACTCCAGCTGTAATTAGTTGAGAGTGAGAGCTACTCTTGTATAAATAACTTTCATTTACATTCAATAAAGATAAGAAATTCTTTTCTTCATAAAACCATTTTTAGCTCTGCTATACTCTCTGCTATACCCAGCATTTTGCTTTGATTTCTTCATGGTATCAGAGCAGCCTTCTCTGATATCGCTTCTGCTCATCTGATATCTGCTACACAGTAATTGAGGTCACGATCTTCCTTGAGCTAGGAAGATGGCTAGCAATACAAGATCTATTGGATCTAATCCAACCGAAAATGTGCCTGATGAAGAAACCGCGGAACCTCGAACGTACAACAATGGCGATCCACTGTATTTGCAGGGATCAGACCACCCAGGGATGATGCTTGTATCGACGCCACTAATAGGTAACAATTACCTGTCATGGAGTCGTTCTGTGAAGATAGCCCTATGTGCGAAGGTTAAATTGGGTTTTATTGACTGAAAATGCAAGATGCCTGAAGAAGATTCCACCAAATTTGATCAATGGAAAAGAGTAGATTGTATGGTTACCTCTTGGTTGTTGAATTCCATTTCCAAGGACATCGTAGATGCCTTCCTATATACTGCCTCTGCAGTGGAATTATGGAACGAATTGAAAGAGAGATTTGGAGAATCAAATGGTCCTTTACTATATCAATTGCAAAGGGAAATTAGTTCCATCTCTCAAGGTACATTGTCTGTGATTCAGTATTTCACTAGACTCAAGAGATTATGGGATGAATTAGCATGTTTGATGCCAATTCCTCAATGCACATGTGGAGCAGCTAAATGTGTCTCAGAAATCACTATAGCAAATCATCTGATGCAGTTCCTCATGGGTTTAAATGACTCTTTTGACAATATTCGTAACCAAATATTGGTGATGGACCCTCTGCCTAGTGTAAATAAAGCTTACTCTATGGTTTTGAGGGTGGAGAAACAAAGAGAAGTACACACATCTTATGTAGAGATTGCTGGACAAAATGCCATGTTTGCTAAATCACAAAATTTCAGAAAGGATGGGATGGTGAAGAATCACTTTAACAGTTTTAAAAGGAAGGATGCAAAGAAATCTGATAGGCATTGTGACTACTGTGATGCTAATGGACATACTGCAGATACATGCTTCAAGCTACATGGATACCCTGATTGGTTTAAGAAACTACCAGAAACGAAAGGAAAATTGCTGAGCAAGAATATGGCACATATGGTTGAAACTCCTATAGATTTATCTGATGAACATGTTCAAACAAAGACTAATGATTTATCATCCTCCATTGCGACCTTGATTCAGCAAGAGATCACAAAATATATGAAGGGAAACTCTGCTACAGAAGGAAATTTCACCAACTTGGTACAATTAGCAGATTCAGCAGGTTCTACTCCTCACTTTGCCTTGAATTACATCTTGAATGCTCTTGATTTTATTGAACCTGGTACTTGGATTATAGACACTGGTGCATCAAATCATATGTGTGTGGATTCAAATTTAATTGATACACTAATACGATTGCAAAAACCTGCCCCTGTAGTTTTACCAGATGGCTCAGTTAAAAATGTCCACCATATCGGAAATGTTACCTTAACCTCAAACATTGTTCTCACAGATACACTCTATTTGCCTAGTTTTAAATTCAACTTGTTATCTGTGAATAAACTTGCCAAAACTTCACACATCAAATTGATCTTTTTCCCCACCTATTGTGTCTTACAGGACCTGAAGACTGAAGACATTTTAGCGATAGGCAAAGTGATAGGAAGCTTATACATTTTAGACAATTCTTGCTTCTCTCCTGAGGTTTTAAATTCTTTCAAACGGCCAGACAGAACCTTGCAAGTTAATTCTTCTTTTAATTCCTCCTGTACTGATTTTACCTTTGCTAATAAAGTAACGTTTTTAAGGAAGTCACAATCCACTTGGCATAAGAGACTTGGTCATGCTTCTCAAACTGTATTACAACATATTCCATTGCTTCGTTTTACTGATAATAAAACACATGAGTCTTGTGATGTTTGTCATATGTCAAAACAACAGAGATTGCCATTTCCCAAAAGTAGAACATGTTCAGACCACATTTTTGAACTAATTCATTTGGACTTATGGGGACCTTACAAACAGCCTTCATTGTCAGGAGCACACAATTTTCTAACCATTGTCGATGACTTCAGTCGTGCAACTTGGATTTTCTTACTTCAATCTAAACACCAGACTTTAAACACTTTGGATTCCTTTTTCAAAATGGTCCAAACTCAGTTTCAAGTTAAAGTCAAAAAAATAAGATCAGATAATGGAACTGAATTCGTCAATTTGGAATGCCAACAGCTATTCACTAATCTTGGTATCTTACACCAAAAGTCATGTACTTACACACCGCAACAAAATGGTGTAGTAGAACGTAAACATAAACATTTGTTACAGATTGCACGTTCACTCATGTTGCAATCCTGTTTACCAAAACAATTCTGGGGTGACGCCGTGCTAACAGCTGCATACATCATAAATAGATTGCCTACTCCAGTTTTAAATTGGAAAACACCCTATGAGCTTTTATACAACAAGACACCAGATTATGCAATATTAAAATCATTTGGTTGCCTTTGTTATGTTACAAACACACAGCCCCATAAAGACAAGTTCCATTCTAGGGCCTACAAATGCATTTTTCTTGGCTATGCTCCTGGTCAGAAAGCTTATAAGACATATGACATTAATTCACACAAGGTGTACATTTCAAGGGATATCATTTTTTATGAGGAATTTTTCCCTTATGTTAAAATTTCACAAATGGATGATTCTTCAACACCTTTACCTATCATTCCTCTCACTCTAGACACAAATAATTCACTTGTCTCCAATTCTGATATACCAAATTTCTCATCACCTATCTCATCCTCTGTCAATACTCCTCCTGTAAACTCATCCTCTGTCAATGTTCCTCCTATAAACTCATCCTCTGTCAATGTTCCAAGGCAAAGTGCTAGGATTAAGAAAACCCCAGGTTGGCTTAATGATTTTGCTTCAAATGTATTGCTTCCTGTTAACGAGTCAATTGCTTCTACTTCTTCAGTCTTAAGCACTACTGAAATACATGATTACCCATCTATGCATTCCTTCTCCACATCATATATGTCTTTTATTGCTAATGTGTCTCATATCCAAGAACCATCTTCATATAAACAAGCATGCATTCATGAGGAATGGGTTCAGGCTATGAACAAGGAACTTACAGCTTTGGAGAATAATCGTACTTGGGAACTCACATGCTTACCTGAAGGAAAGCAAGCTATTGGTTCAAAATGGGTTTATAAGGTCAAGCTTAATTCTGATGGTAGCATTGATCGATTTAAGGCCCGACTTGTGGCCAAGTGATATAATCAGGTAGCAGGTGTTGATTATTTTGAAAGTTTTTCTCCTGTTGCAAAAACTGTTACAGTGAGGTTATTTTTAGCAATTGCAGCAGCAAAATCATGGCCAATACACCAACTGGACATTAATAATGCCTTCCTCCATGGCTTTTTGGATGAAGAGGTATATATGTACCCTCCAGAAGGCTATTCTCAGGCTAAACCAGGTCAGGTTTGCAAATTGAAACGTTCCCTTTATGGTCTCAAGCAAGCCTCGAGACAATGGAATCATGAATTTACTACACAATTGCAAAATTTTGGGTTCAAATAGTCAGCTCATGATAATTGCTTGTTTATCAAGAAGTCAGCTGCTGGTTTTCTTGCCCTCATTGTTTATGTGGATGATGTGCTTATTACGGGTATAAATGAGGATGATATTGTTGTTGCAAAACAGTTCTTGGATTCTCAATTTTCAATCAAAGATCTTGGTTATGTGAAATACTTTCTTGGATTGGAAATAGCAAGGTCGGTTACTGGCACTTACATTCATCAGAGGAAATATGTTCTCGATATTCTTGAAGACACTGGTCTTTCGAATGCTAAAGCTGCTCTTACTCCTTTACCAACGGGTTACAAGTTTTCAGTTACAATGGGTGAATTATTTCCTCACCCGGATAGGTATAGAAGACTCATTGGTAGGCTACTCTATTTGGGCTTTACGCGACCTGACATTACTTATGCAACCCAGCAACTTAGTCAGTTTGTTCACACCCCATGTCAATCTCATTGGGATGCTGCGATTCATGTGCTTCGTTATTTAAAGGGTTGTCCTGCAAGAGGTCTGTTCTTCCCTACAGACAATTCTCTCCAGCTTACAGCATATTGTGATGCTGATTGGGCTTCCTGCATTGATACTCGCAAGTCACTCACTGGATATTGCATCTTCTTGGGGTCTGCTTTGGTATCATGGAAGACCAAGAAGCAACCTACTGTGTCCAGGTCTTCTGCTGAAGCAGAGTACCGTAGCATGGGATCTACTGTGTGCGAGTTACAATGGATTTCATATATGCTGAATGATTTCTGTCTTCCACCCTTACTCCCTATTCCTTTGTTGTGTGATAATCAAGCAGCCCTACATATCACGGCCAACCCAGTCTTCCACGAACGTACGAAACATTTGGAGATTGACTGCCATCTAGTGCGGGATAAATTCAAGCAAGGTTTCATTCTTCCTAAGCATGTTTCTACTAAACAACGGCTTGCAGACATATTTACAAAGGCTCTTCCTGCGCCTACTTTCTGTACTTTCTCGTCCAAGTTGGGCTTGTGTGATTTTCACCAAGCTCCAACTTGAGGGCCCCTACTTCTTTATTAAGAACAATCTACAGTTTAGCTTTTACCATGTGACAGTTATAAAGTTGTTTAACAGATTAGATATTTTACTCCAGCTGTAATTAGTTGAGAGTGAGAGCTACTCTTGTATAAATAACTTTCATTTACATTCAATAAGATCTGAGAAATTCATTTCTTCATTAAACCATTTTAGCTCCGCTGTATTTTTCTGCTATACCCAGCAGATTTTTGGTTTGATTTCTTCAAAAATTAAAAATCTATTGAATCTATTACCAAAAATCTCATAATTGAAATTCAAAAAATAATTGTAGATTATCATCTTTAATTGGAAGTTGTAATGTTTGATTTCCAAAATGAACATCCAGTTTCATCGAAATTGCAATTCGAAGTTTCGTTTGCTTCTATGAGTGCAAGTTGAAGTTCCAAAGAACCAACTCCGTTGTCTAAGCATAAGTAGAATTTGGTCCTACATTAGCTAGAGAAGAAGGTCTATTATTTTTTGGGCAGCGACAAATGGTGGCATCATCAAAGGAGGCTAAGCAGTGGTGGGAGGCGAAATATGAAAGAGTGTTTAGATTTTTATATATTTTTTATTTAATAAGGATTTTTAAAAACTATGTAATCAACATCAACTATAAATGGAACGATAAACAAGGATCCCTTATTTTAGGGCGTAACCGACACTGTGTTGTATATTCATTACTCATTAGGAGACTTTGTAGTATAATTTTTTTTAAAAAAAAAATAAGGCTAAATTTGCAAAATAAATAGGTACTTCTCATAAATTCAAAAAATTCTCTATTGAAAATTGGGGATAAAACTAGGACATGGCCTAAATACCAAAATCCTAAATTGATTAATAGAAGGGAACATAGGACAATTTACACAAACAAGGAAAAAAATAGAGGCTATTTTCATCCACCATTGTTATTAGGTGTGGATGCCAATTGGTTTGGTCCAAATTCGAAAATAATCAAACCGAACCAATTATCAATAGAAATCATTCCATATCAAATTATATAACCGAATCGGAACTGAAACAATTTGGTCCAATCCGATTCACATTTTGCTTTGATTTCTTCATACTGAAAGATGAAGGACCTTCAATTACAATTAAGAAATGACTCAAGCTGAATACAAATAGAAATTCATGTGCTAACCTGGATAAGAAGTAAAATGAGACTAGCAATCGCAAGGATCACCCTACGCAATCGCAATGGTAGCAAAATCTTCACCAGAACTTCACATGGAAACACCTTGCAACAACACCTACTTAGGAATGTGATTTGTGCATGAATTTAACATAATTTTGGAGGCTAATTAGACAGTTCTTCATCTTGCAACAAGGAGAAGAGAGCATTTTCAAGATTTTTGATTCGAAACTGAAGATTTCGAGAAAGAGAATTGCAATTTCTTGCAGACTCCATTGAAAAAATTCAAGGGGACAAACATTGATCTTCAAGCTTCTCCTTGATATTCAATTTTTCGGGTGACAAACTATCAATTTATTATGTGTTTTTATAATATGAGCATGTTAGACTAAATCATTAATGCTTAGGATGCTGATGTAAACCGTTATTTGAAATTATAATTCGAAGATTTTTCTTTTAATTCTCAATTTTGGTGAATTGATTGGTGTCAATGTTTTAATTACCATTTGAAGGAATGATCAACCATTAAACGTAATTGTGACTTATTTTGCTTTCGGGAGGTTCAAAGTAAGTCTATCACATGATTAAAAATAATGAAAAATTGCAGTCAAGATACCAAATATTTCATTTAGTTGCAGACTTTTCCCAAGTATTTCATTTGTGTCACATACGATACCAAACTTTTCAAAAATTAGCACATGAAGTCCAAATAGATGGAAACCATTAGTTTGACCGTTAGTTAATCAGAGTAATTGATTTTGACCAAATATAAAATGGGTAAAATTGTAACTTTATAATTTTATTATATAATAAATTAAAATTAAAAAAGAAAAAAAAGGTAGTATCATCTTCACTCAAAACTCACATCGCCGACGGAGGAGCAAAATCAGCAGACCTCGAGCCCATTCGCCGTTTGAAATCGACAAAACCATCGCTCTTCCTCTAGCCGTCACCGGACCTCTTAGAGTGAGAGGCTACTTGATTAGCCTCGCGGTAACTATTTTCATCTCTGAAGCCATTCACTCCCAAATTTCTGAAGCCAGTACTTATTCTCTTATCTTCCATTTGCTCCCAAATCTCTAGCAGATTTGGCAGCAAATAGATTTGCAATATCAACCTTTACTTCTCTCACTTCGCACGTCAAGCAATTTGAGAAAAACCCTGAAGGGATTCAGAAACAAATCAATCTAGAAACCCTATAAGATTTGTTGACTTTTTAAAATTTTATATTGGGGAGAAAAAAAAAAAGAAGAGATTTAGTTTAAATTTACATTTTAGTTGAGTATTGTAGACACTTCTTTGGTGTAAGTTGGAGGAAAAAAAAAAAAAAAAGAGATTCGGTTGAATCTTACTAGCATGTTGGAGAAGAGAAAGATCAATTCTAAAGTGTGTAATTGTTTGACAGTATTAAGAGGAGTGTTGGGGGAAGGAGTGGTGGTGTCGATTTGGGGTGGGTGGCGGCGGCGTTGGCCCCTACTAATGGTGGTTTTGGTGCAAGGGTGTTGGGGAAGAAGGGATGGTGGTGGTGGGTTTTGTATTTTATATTTGTTTTTATTTATTATATAATAAAATTATAAAATTACCATTTTACCCATTTATATTTGATCAAAATCAATCACTTTGGTCAACTAGCGGTCAAATTAGCGGTTTCCATCCATTTGAATTTCATGTGCTAATTTTTAAAAGGTTTGGAATCATAGGTGACATAAATGGAAGGTTTGGACAAAATCTGCAAATGAAAGACTTGGTACCTTAACAGCAATTTTCCCTAAAAATAAACATAAGGTCCTATAGGTGTTAGGAATAATTATCAATGTTTTGTGCAATCCAATAATCATGTCACTGAATGCATTTTCATATAATTATGAATTTGGATCATATGTGAAAATATGTTTTAACTCTACTTGAAATAGATTGTTAGATAACTAGTATCGTTGATTGTCAATTTAAGCATAAACTAGATTAAAAGTGAAAATTATAATGCATGCTAACAGTAGAGTCAAATTCCTAGTGCACTCGTCTTGATTGATTTCTTTCCTCCAAAAGATTACTTCTGTACTTAGTTAACATACATAATTATAATTTTAGCTGGAATCATAATTAATTAATCTCAACTGTTGACGTCCGATCTACGACCTAGACTAAATAGTTTATGATCGCCACGTGCACTTTAAATGTGAGATCGAATGCAGAAGACCGCAAGGTCAGCTTAGATTCAAAGCCGCTGAAATAAAGGAAACATAATGATGATTAAGTTTCTACTATACTGACAAGCCTCTTAACTCATCAATCCAGCAATGACACTTGGCAGCTCCAAACGTCAACACCTCCCATGGTAACCAATCAAAGAGGAACCATGATTACATGATGTCGATCCATACGGTTTAGCAGAGTTTGACATGATTACAAACTGGTATGCCGACCTTGACAACCAATCCACATATCCAAACCTGCAATACATGGCACACATCTCTAAGATAGTAATGTAGCTAACAAGATTGAAGTCGGCCATTGGTGTGCTCTCCCACCCTATAAATATGCATGAAACGGTCCCCTATCAAACACAGCTCGGATTGGAGAAAGAATCACAAGAAAAGCACTATTCTCACCTAAAAAAAAAGGAACTCACTCCAACCATGTATCTTCCTTTGATGTTTCCAGTAATAAACTCCTATATTTGTTCTTAAGTTGGCCAAGAAGCTGCATTACGTTTTTTGACACCAACATTAGCCATCTATTGTGTGGGTTCAATTTAAGTTCGAATTGGTCGGAGTTAAACTAAACCCTAAATCCTCATAGGAACAATGCTCTATATACAATTTTTTCTATTGCTTATCAACGAACGCACATGCTTGTAGGATTTCAAACAATCAATCTTAAATTTGTATTATTAAATATGCTACTGAGAGAATGAAGTAATATGCCACTTAGAGAATATTCAAAGAATTTTCTATTTATGAATGGCATTTTATAAATGGTCATTAGTCATATTACTTAGAGCTCGAATTTACGTGTAAAATATTTTATTATATGAATGTGTAATTGAAAATACGTTTATAAAAAAAAAAAATTGTTAAACAGGAGATAAGTCGGGGTAGCGGTGGCAAACGAGCCGAGCCGGCTCGTTGCCCACGAGCTCGAGCTCGTGGCTCGTTATAAAACGAGCCGAGCTTAGCTCGCCTACCGAGCCGGCCTGCTCAGCTCATGCTCGGGCTCATTTTTTGACGAGCCCGAGCAGCTCATGGGCCGCTACAGTATGAGTCGAACGACCAAGCCGACGAACCGCTCGGCTCGATAGCCCCGACTCTATGAAAATGGACCCAGAAGGAAATGTTAGCCCAATTACATGCTCAAAGCCCTATGGCTGATATCTACACTTCTAAGAAACAATACAAATAACAACTAGACGAGGTAATTAACGATTAGTCTCTTTCATGCTTTTAATTTCATCATATTATTTTTGACTTTTTAGAGTGAAAGAAAAGATTTCTTTTCCAACATTGATTGCATTTCATTTACACGAAAAAAATGATTCTTTTTCCTATTTTTTTATTCTTCAAATTAAGGTTGAAAATATCTATTACTCTCAAATAGGGGTGAACACGGGTTGGTTTTGGCCCAACCGGTTAGGCCAAGTTGGGTTGGGCCAAAACCAACCCGAACCAAACCAAACCAACCCAACCCAACATTATCGATTTGTTCGAAATCCAACCCAACTCAACTCATGTAAATGTTGAAACCAACCCAACCCATCTAATTAGTAGTAATGCTCAACATCTTTCATGTAGAAACCATCTAAGTTTGGAGACACTCTCAACCAATTTTGTGTGCATACCAAGGCCTCAACCATTTTAGGACTCAACGAACTACGAAAATGATCAAGGATCCTTCCTCTAGTGCAAAAAGCACTTTCTGAAGCAACAGTTGAAACTCGAATTGCCAACACATCCTTAGCTAAATTGGACAAGACACCATACTTACTTTTGTTAACCTTTCACCAATTGAGAACATCAAAATTCTTGTTCTCTACGCTTTCACGAGCATCAAGAAGGATCAAGGATCCTTCCTCCAGTGCTAAAAGCACTTTCTAACGCAACAGTTGAAACTTGAATTGCCAACACATCCTTAGCCAAATTGGGCAAGACACCTTACTTACTTTTGTTAACCTTCCACCAATCGAGTACATCAAAATCCTTATTCTCTATGCTTTTACGAGCATCAAGTAAGTATCTTTCCACATCATTTTTTTTATTTCAGTACAATCTTTTACTACTTGTTTTTTCAGAAATCTAGAAAGGCGAGTATCACTCATATAAAAAGAACTGCATTTATCTGTATTGAAAGAACTCAAAGACTCATCGTAGATATTTGACTACTTCCATGAACACCTTCATGAGCCGCATACCACTCATAAATATGCATTAGATTGACTTTCAAAGATTTTATCTTGACACTAACAACTTCCCCATCCCTGTGTAGATAACTAAAACACTATTCAACATAATCTATTTTGTATCTTGGATCAAGATAGTAGCAATAAGCAACAACTGATTTACATTTTCCATTTTACCCCAATCATTTTCGAATTTCTTCTTCATGCTAGTCGCCATTTCACCTAATAGAATATTGCCACTTAATCTCCATTCATCCAATTCCATTATAATATTACAAATTTCATAAAGATAAGCACAAGCACTAACGCGCAACGAAGCACTAAAAGTCAAAGTGACATTAAAGAAATTTTTAAGGAACTTGACAAATACAGATCCATTTTTCAATCTAAACTTGAAGGAGGTCCACCTCTTTCTACCACCATCTTCTTCCCGAAAGTAATGAAAATACTGAGCATCCTCTTCTTCTAACCCATTGAAAACTTTCTCAAATTTTAATACTATTTCCAACATCAAATAAGTAGAATTCCATCTAGTTGGGACATCCAAAAATACAATAGACTTGGAATCAATCTTCTCTTTCCTCTCACACTCCTTCAGTTTTTCATGCCTAGGAGGAAAGATTTCACATATTTGATTACATTGCGAATATTCACAATGGAGTCATGTGCTTCCCTCAACTCGTCACAAACAATCAAATTGATAATGTGTGCACAACACCTCAAGTGCAAATATCTCCCATCTAGAACACATCCATCATTATCTNTATCTCAAGCAACTAACTTCCTTCTAAGATAAGAAATAGCCACATCATTAGAGCTTGCTTTATCAACTGTGATTATAAAAACTTTCTCAAACCTCCAATCTTGCAAACAAGTCTCAATCATTTTCTCAATTGTTTCTCCCTTGTGATTTGGAACAACACAAAAACTCAAAATACGCGTATTAAGAGTCCAACCAGAATCAATAAAATGTGCTGTAAGAGATTTGCAATTAACATTTTGAATGGAAGTCCATGTATCAGTTGTGATGAAAACCCTTTGACAGTGAGAAGAAAAGATATCTCTCAATTTCTGTTTTTTCATCTAAATACATGATAAATGTCTCTAACAAGAGTCCTCGGAGATGGAGCCTGAAACTGAGGACATGCTACACTACAAAAGAGTCTGAAACTACGACCTTCAACAAACCTAAAAGGTCATTCATCTACTACTACCATCTTAGCACATACAACTCTATAACCTTCTTTACTTCGACCAATGGTAATAAGATTGCTCCCACTACCCTCTTTTTTATTATCAAAAGACAGGATTCTTTACTTTTTATCCACCAATCTACCTGGATACTTTTTACAATTATTTGTCAAATGATTTCCCAATGTGCTAGTACCATACTTAGTGCCATAACCATAATCTATTCCACAATAGTTACATTTACACCTAACATTCGGTTCATCCCTTGAGCCCAATAGTGTAAAGTGATCCTAAACATATGAAGCTAATCTATGAGATTTCTGTTTACCTAATGTTGACGGTGCACGT